AGGGCGGGAGAGTGGTAAGGCTCACATATCTCTACGGGTAGATCGTTCCACAGGGCCGGCGCAGCTACAGAGAAGGCTCTCCCCCGGGGAGTCGCCAGCCGGCATTGTCTGGTCAATGGCACCCGGAGGAGGCCTAACCTGTGAGATCTAGTTGGTCGTTGAGAGATATGTGGCAGGAGGCGGTATCTCGGGTAGAATGGACTTCAACTCCCAGAATTCCCCATGCTGGTTGGGGAATTCTGGGAGTTGAAATCCCCACCTCTTAAAGTTGCTAAGCTTGAGAAACTCTGTCCTACAGGCTTTTGCTCTCTGTTCTTGGATGTCCTTATACACACAATAAAAAAGTATTCCTAGTCAGCCGTGCAACTGCAAAACCTAAAAAAATGTTAGCATTAGCAAAAAATTGAGGTCTTTATGGCATTATACCAGAAAATCTATAATACCCAAGAGAGTAAACTTCTGAGAAATCTAGTTATGAATGTGTATTCTAGCTGCCAGAAACATCAATTTCTTTATTGTTTGTGGTTTTAACACTGATTGGAGGCAGTTCTTTTAGATGGCTGCTAATAACCTGTAGGTTATGTCAACATATCAAGGCTTGGAGTAATTTTAACACTAAGAGCTGTATTATATTTTACTTATACCAATGGATAGTGCTTCACCTGGAGAGTTTGTAGGAATTATTAATTTTGTCTTTGTTGCTATATTGTAGCGCATCAGTTCTCCTTTGTGATCAATCCAGTAGAGGAATCCTCTTTTCCAATCCATGTCCTGAAAATAGATTATTTCTGGCCATTCAGGTATCAGGGGTTGATGCTGCTGAATTGCACCTTCTGGTCCAATGTGCACTTGGAAAATTTCATGGTCAGTAGAATACACAACTTTCAACTCTGTCAAAGTACACATAGGAAGAATATCACTTTGGAGACTAACTTCACCAGTCATTCAAGCACCAAGAACATTCACTTAATATTGTACCTAAGAATCGCAGTAGCCATTGGCTTTCTATATCAACAGCTGGCATTAGTGCTTCCTTGAGTGGAGAAAATATACATAATAGTCTGGTTTATGGTTATAAGCCATTCTTTACAGAACTTGAAAATTGTTTTGTCAAAAGAAAATAAGACATGGTTAAACATATTCTAGCTGTATATTTGTATTTGCCTGAAGGTCTGTTTTAAGTCTTTTGACAGCTGGCAAGGACCAGCTATTAACCTTACTGCCATTGGCTTTTGGTATATTAAGATAATGGATGACAAAGGGATCAAAACAACAATTGGTTATAAGAGGTAGCTATCCAAACCATCATTAACCTATCTCTCCTCTGTCAACAGCTAAAGCATATTCAGTATATGCATCACATCACAACAGCTGACGTCTAAAATAGGATGCTTATACGAGTCTCAAAACTAGTATTTAAAAGGTCAATAGAGAGTTTCCACCCATCTTCCAGGGACTTATGGTCTTCTAGTTGCACCCGAGAATTACAGACCTACCTCCACATTCACCAGAAGCTAGGAGAAAAGTACCCTTTGGACAGGCGCATCTGTAGCCTTTGGAATGAACTGGTGACAAAAGACAAATGTGGCTGCACACTCCTGGTAAACATGCATTTGTGTTATCTAGAAATCAAGGGAATATGTTAGTATTCAAGACTAATTAACCTCTTCTCCAAACTATGTAATTATTTACTTAGGGCTGTACAGTGCTTTGGTGTCAAAGGAAAAGATGCTCCAGAGCAGGAGCCTCCAACCTTGGCAATTTTAAGTCTTGTGGATTTCAACTCCCAGAGTTCTGGGAGTTGAAGTCCACAAGTCTTAAAGTTTCCATGGTTGTAGACGCCTGCTCCGGAGCATATGTGCAATACTTGGCTACAATGTCTTAAACCAAATCTTTTTTTCCCCAGGATCAACCTACAGCTACTGAAGGCAGCAATTTTAGGAAAATGTGCTGCTTTTAAAAAAATGACAGACATATGGTATGCAATCAACTCACATGCTCTGAAGCAAATGTTGCCTTCAGACCGAAGTGCTCCACAATTCTAGCATTAACCCAAGAAAGACCTTTCAACCTTTGGCTCAAATGAGGTTGCTTTAGATGTTCCTGACTATCTTTTAATCCAATCACCACTATATACTGTAATTCTCCCCAAGCAAGTTTATTACAACTGCTTATGAATTCCTACAGTGTATCCCAGAAACATCCATGGGGGACAAAATGTAAATTATTTTTTCTTAGTAGCTCGGCCCTGCTTATGGCTTGCCAAAGAGATCAACTTACTTAGTGATTGCTGTAACTCATGCAATACTGTGAATGAAGAGATGGAGGCGTCCAGCAGTGTGCCAACACCGGGTGAGGTGCGAGATGCATAAAACAAGTGTGTTCCAGTGCTCCAGAAGAACATATTTTCAAATATAGCAAGTCTTAGGGGAACCTGATTTTTCAGCATTGTATCAGGGAAAGTGTATCTTCCAGAACCATCTACTTTTACTGTTTCAATGGACTAAAAAGAAAAAAAAGCAATTTGAAAACAGCATTCAGACTTACAGAACTATCACTAATTGTTTTAATTAACTAGCCATGTTCTTTTTTTTATTTTTTTAAGAAGAATATTTTATTTTCATTTCCATAACATATAATCACATGTATATTGTTACATAGACAATATCATGTTATAAGAGAAGACAATATACATGTGCAATCATACTACTTTAAAATCAAACCTGGGATCGTTCCCCCCCTCCCCCCCCCGAGCCCTCACAACCTACCCCCCCAACTTCCCAGAACCCGTACACAGTATAGATATTTAACAACCACAGTCTAAGATATATTGATAAAAAATAAAAAGAAATTAATAACATCTTTGCATTGAACTTAGCTCCTCCTTGCTAAATTAACTTTAAACAGTTCAAAAACTAGCCATGTTCTTGATAACCAAGGCAATTCTGTATGGCATTTTTTTTTGCTCAAATTCTTCTGATCAGATGGTTTATACATTGTGGCCCTCTACATGGATTAATAGAGATGTGGTGGCTCAGTGGCTAAGACGCTGAGCTTGTTGATCAGAAGGTTGGCAGTTCGAATCCCTAACGTCCCCTAACAGAGTGAGCTCTGTCCCAGCTTCTGCCAACCTAGCAGTTCAAAAGCATGTAAAAATGCAAATAGAAAAATAAGGGATCACCTTTGATGGGAATTTAGTCATCCTGGCCACATGACCATGGAGATATCTTCAGACAGCACTGACTCTTTGGCTTTGAAACGGAGATGGGCACCGCCCCCTAGAGTCGGAAACGACTAGCACATATGTGCAAGGGGAATCTTTACCTTTACCTTTATATGGATTAATGCTAGCAATTCAACCATAACCCTTTCATATCCTCATTTGAGAAAAATTCTGCAGAGGATTCGATCAATTCAGGAAAATATTTTTGGTTCTGAACAGACATTTAAAAGAATTGTTCGGCCAGATTGCTTAGCCTTATGCGCCAGGGATTTTTTAAAAAAATTCCCTGTTTTCCAACGTTATCTAAAAAACTAAATAAAAGTACTTTTAAGGTTTTAAAATTTTTTAGTATCAGTGGAAATATAGCAAAAATAATAAGGATCATTTCAAATCTATAGCCCTTTGAACACTTAGGATAAGTCGTATATAAAACTCTCTGTACAGATTGTCATTCTAGGACTCCTTTGTTTGGCTCCCTAATGAAATAGATGGACTGCAACAAGTTTAAAAATGTAATTGTTTCCCTGAGCAGAAACATGAAAAATTGATATACAGTATTAAATGTAACAATATTATATTTAATTAAAGAACATAAACACATTATTAGGATTTGTTTTAATAAATCACGAGAGGGGGGGGAGGGAGGGAGGGAGAGAGGGAGATGTGGAGATGCAAACCATAGGTAGCTTTGCATTTGGGATGGGCTGAATTACACACCTTTTTATACATACTGATCCAATAGAGTCTACTAGTGATGTAATCAAGAGTCAATCCCACGGGCTCTTCGGCAAATACTACCACAAGCACATGTCTGTCTGATCCATCCATCCCTGCAGCTTCTATTACAGTCCTGTCCTTTTCACCACAATTCACCCAGTACATGTATCTGTGATAAGACAGAAAACCAGAGCAAAATGCTTCAAGAGCAGTGGTCTGGAAATACGACTATTTAGTCACTCATCCAGTTTGCTACCACACATGAAGGACTTACACACTCTTAGATCAGGATCTTCTCAGGAGCTGAACAATATTAGATAATGTTGTATAGTATCACGGGGACCAAAAATTATAAGAATTGAGTCAAATATTTATCAAATTTCTAAGTTTAAAAATTTCTGAGATTATGCTACAGGCAATCTTCAACTTACAACCACAACTGAGGCCAAAATTCCTGTTGCAAAGTGAGACATTAGTTAAGTGAATTTTGCCCCGTTGTACGACTTTTAGCAATAGCAATAGCAGTTAGACTTATATACTGCTTCATAGGGCTTTCAGCCCTCTCTAAGCGGTTTACAGAGTTAGCATATTGCCCCCAACAACAATCCGGGTCCTCATTTTACCCACCTCGGAAGGATGGAAGGCTGAGTCAACCTGGAGCCGGTGTGATTTGAACCGCTGAACTGCTGATAGCAGTCAGCTGAAGTGGCCTGCACTCCACCCACTGGGCCACCTCGGCTCTCTTTCTTGCCACAGTTGCTAAGTGAATCACTGCAGTTGTTAATAACATGGTTCTTAAATGAATTCGGTTTCCCCTTTGACTTTGCTTGTCTCAAGGTCACAAAAGATGATCACGGGACACTGCAACCATCATATACACTGCAAATATCAGAAGCATGAGTCAATTGCCAATTTTCCAAATTTTGATCACATGACCATGGGAATGCCTCAATGGTCATAAGTGTGAAAAATAGACATGTCACTGTTTTAGTGCTGTTGTATCTTTGGATGGTCACTAAACAAACTGTTTTAAGTTGAAGACTAACTGTATGTAAATATGTGGGATTCCTGCCCTAAAGGCTTATGGGATTTCTGGAGAGAACAGTGAAATCTTACTAAATTTGGTAATCTCTTGAAACTTTGGGCATTTAAAATAAATAGTTTGTGTCTTGGAGATATTATATGGGCAGGCTTCAAATATGCATGAAATTATATCACTATGACAATACTGTAAATTCAGTAGTGTCTATTCTGAAACTCATACCTTTTCTCTGGAAATGTAATCAGCTGCTCCGGCACCAGATTTTTCTCCAGGATCTTTACATAGCCCCTACCATCATTCAAACCAGCAAAGATAGCACGAGGAAAATTGCTGGCCCAGTATAACTGCCCTGTGAACCAGTCTACAGAGATGCTGTTGATACCACTGACATCTATAGGCAAAATTCAAGAAGACAAAATATGGGAAGGGGCTCAATGAGTTTTTGTTATAGTCCATCTGTAACTTGTAGGGTTCTATAAACACCCTACATAAATAATCTTTTGTAAGGGGGTTCTTTACATTGCTTCTTTCTGAGGCTTAAGAAGTCTCTGTGTAATATTTTGCTTGCTATTTCACCTTCCTGTAAATTCAACTTTACGATAATAGGATATATTCCATTTATACATCAGTATAATTATGTAATTATGTCTTCATCAATGGTCATCTTCTATTATGTAGAAAATATAGAAAATGTTGCACTTTTTAACATCAGATTTTTTTCTACAGTGTTTGGGCTTTGGAGAGTTAACTGGAAATATCAGTGCCTTGACCAACCCATGACTTACATTACACATTGGTCTTCTTCTCAAACTATAAAAAGGTGGGAAATTTGCTCAGTATTAGGCGGAGAGGAAGATTTGGGGGCTTATTGTAGTGGATTTATGCCATGGCAAGTTTTAAGACACACATTTTGCCTGTTAAATCTCAACCTCCTCAGAAGGGGTGGGGAGCCTTAATTTTTACTCCCACATATTCTGATAGGCACAATTCTCTAGGAATTGTGTTCGGTTCTAAAGGAATGCCACACAATTCTATATGAAAAGACAAACTGAGGCACAGTTGACTGTAAACTGATTTAAAGTTCATCCCAAAGAAAATTAGGATTCATCTAGAACTAAAGCTGAACATTGCTTTTGCTGAAGTATAGAGGCAAAAATAGAAGGGTTAGTTTTTGATTCTGGATTTATCCGCAATAAATCATTTTACCTGGATAAAGAATCATCTCACTTTTTCCAGACACATAAACATGAAGTTTTTTATCTTCAACCCAATAATAGCTTTTCCTTAAGAGGTCGTAAGCAACAGAGACAGCCTTTGTTTTTGTAGATACTAGAATCTCCTGGTGATGTGTCTTTAAATCCAGGAGAGCAAGACCTTGAGGGGCAGCTAGTAGCATTTTGGTAGTCGCATCTGGAAAAGAACATGAAGTTTAGTTACCTTTGCTTTAAGACATAGTCAAACTCACCCATCCCAATTTGAAGCCCTCTTGATCTGAGCCAGCATTGCACCTCTTAGAATTCTTAACCAGCTAACAATATATAGCATTTAACTGTGTCTCAAATTACTTGTAAATTGTGACTCCAGTGAAACTAAGAGATCTCATTTTTTTTCCAGCCTCTTAGACTCATTGCAGGCTAATTGTACTGTACACTGAAATCTTACCTATAACTTTGCACATGGTTCCATTGAAGAGTTCATATCCGTCAACACAGTCACAGGTAAAGGAACCTAATGTGTTCTTGCATAATTGATTACAAGGACTGTATGCTATTTCACATTCATCAATATCTGCAAAGAACAAAACAGGCTGTTAAAAATTGCTATAAATGGTAAAGGCAGTTGCATTAAAAGTTTAATCATTTATAGAAAACATTAGGTGTACACAATAAACTTGGGAAGATCCTGGAAAAAAATAATCAAGCAATAGAACTGCAAACACCTAGAAGCAAGCAAAGTTATAACCAGAAGCCAACATGGGTTTATCAAAAACAGATCATGCCAAACAAATGTTATTTCATTATTTGACAAAGTGACAAAATTAGTGGACCAGCAAAATGCTGTGGACATAGTATACTTGGATTGCAATAAGGCATTTGTCCAAGTAGACCACAACCCATGTCTTGGTAAACAAAAAAATGTGGAATAGACAGCATCATCACCAGATGGATTCGTAACTGCTTAACAATCCGCACTCATTGTGCAGTCCTTAATGGAACTACATCTACATGGAAGGAAATAAGCAGTGGGGGACCCAAGTTTATGTTTTAGGCTCAGTACTCTTCGATATCTTCATAAATGATTTAGATGAGGGAATAGCAGGGGATCTCATCAAATTTTCAAATGACACCAAACTGACAGGAATAGGCTAAAGATCCAAAAGGATCTTGATGGACTTGAACACTGGGCCCTATAAATTCAGGGTAAAGTTAAGGTTTTATACTTAGGCAAGAAAAACCAAATGTACAGGTATAAAGTTAGTGGAAGCTGGCTCAATAGCAGCAATTGTGAGAGGGATCTTGGAGTTCTAGTGGACAGCCACTTATGAGCCAGCAATAGCAGCAAAAAAGCCAATGCAATCATAGGTTGCATTAATAGAGGGATAGAATCAAGTCCATGTGACATATTTGTACTGCTTTATAAAACCTTAGTAAGGCCACTCTTAGAATACTGCATTGTTTTGGTCATCAAATTATAAAAATGATGTTGAGACTCTGGAAAGAATACAGAAAAGAGCTACAAATATGATTAGGGGGCTGGTGGCTAAAACATGAAGGAAGGTTGCAGGAACTGGGTATGTCTAGTCTAGAGAAAAGAAGGACTAGGGGTGATATGATGACAATGTTTCAATGTTTGAGGGACTGCCACAAAGAGGAATGGGTCAACCTATTTTCCAAAGCATCAGAAGGCCAGACAAGAAGCAAGGGATGGAAACTAACAAAGAAGAGAAACAACCTAGAACTAAGGAAAAATTTCCTGACAGCGAAAACAATTAACCAGTGGAAGAAACGAATTGCCTTCAGAACCACCACTGGAGGTTTTTAAGAGATTGGGCAGCCAGTTGTATAGAGTCTCTTGCTTGTGCAAGGGTTCAGACTAGAAGACTTTCAAAGTCTCTTACAGCTATGTTATTGTTATTGCCATTGTTTAATTGCCTAATACATTAGAAAATATAGTTTCTATTTTGTGATAAGTTCCCATTTCCACTTTAAAAGTTCAGCTCCCTCAACTGCTGAATTTGAGGCAGTTGCATAAGTAGTCAGTTCCTACTTGTAATATTTGTTACAACTTACAATTGAGAATATATATCAATCTAGCTCAGGGATTGTCCCTTTGCATTCATACCTGAACAGTTTTTACCATCAGCAAGAAGTTCCCAGCCAGCAGCACATGAACAATTGACACCCCAAAATGTCTCTGTACATTTCTCCATGCAGCCACCATTATTCAGAGAGCATTTTTTGCCTGAAAAAAAAAATAGAAGCAAGAATTACTCCCTCGTTCAAGTCTTGATTAGGGAAAAATAATATTAACAGATCATGCTGTTAGGGTTTATTACCACAAGACCAGGGTTCATCAGTGCCATCCAAGCAATCTGCCCCTCCGTTGCACATTAGAGATTCCAAAATGCATTTCCCTTGATCACAATGGAACATTGTTTCTGGGCAGTGAGCTGTATACCAGAAATTTTAAAAAAAAACATTTATATATGGTTCACACTGATTGCAAGTCAATCTGTCACCAACATAAATTCATATATCATTTTCTTCAAAGCTATAACCTGTTTTCTCAAAACGAGATTCACACAGTATGTTCTAGACATAAGCACATTCCAGATGAACAGTAGGAAAAATAGTATATTCTGAACAAATGGACCTATTATCTGGGAAGGGGAGAAGACTTTCTTCTACTATGAATGTTCAGTCAGAAGCTGGATGTTTCCCTTTCAGATATACCTGAATTCCTGTATTGAATAGAGGATGGGACTAGACAAACAGACAGATTTCCCTTCCAGCTTTGTGACTGTGGACAAGTACAAAACAACTCTACTTGAACCTGGTACTGTCCCCATGTGCTTGGAATGAATGCAACTCTTAGAAGCCGCACATTAGCTGGTTCCCATTGATATTCACTAATGATTTGTAACATCTTTTGGAGTCATCCAATCATCACACAATCATGGCACAAAAGTAACAGTAATGAGAATGGTTTTCATGCCACTTCAATGATAGTTAAGTTGGCAATGCAATAAAAATGTGCTAAGTCACTAGTAGGAAAATGGCCGAAAACTTCCATTAGCTTCCAAGTAACAAGTGATACAACTGTGTTTCTAATTCCTTAGCACAGGCATCTATATGTTAATCAACTGTACAACCCAACTGTAAAGACCTGCCTCAGTTACCTTCTCAAGAAAGTAAAACTCTTGAAGCAGATTTTATTATCCAACCATCTGAAGAGTTTCATATAAGATTAGTTCAGAAGCTGATTTCATAACTTACATATTTCAACTTTGGGGGCACTAAGATACTTAGTTTGGGTTTCTGAGTCAAATAGATTGTTGATACCAAGTCCAGGTGTTGATATGCTTAAGAACATGATGCAATTATCAAAACCATTTTATTAGCATTGCTATTCAATTAAACATGTAATAGCTGGGCAAGGTACAAGTTACTGAAATTTAAGATGCACAGTTAAAACCTAATTCTGGAGAATAAAACATTGTTACTATTCAGCTGCTTTTTCACAGCAAGTATTGTCTTCGGCCTATTATTTTTCAAAAAAGAAATGCCACATTAAAAAAAAGTTATTTTCCTGCAAATCATAAATCCAAATCAGCCACCCAGTTTGCTTTATGGAGGACATCATAGTTGTATATTTCTAATTCCTCGAAGCGATACTGAAATTTGTATATAAAGAAACTGCCTGCAATATTTTCAGATAATTTAAAAAACTGACCATATTTTTGATTAACCAATCAAAAACATGGTCAGTTTTTGATCAATTTATCAAGTAAAAAATCCTCAGAGCCCATTGGTTTATATTACTGGGCTCTGATGATTTTATATTTGATAAACTCCTTGATTAATAAAATACTTGAGACATTTGGCTATGGGGCTAACGGTATTCTACAGACAGTGTCAAATAAATGAAAGTTGTAAACAAACTATAGATAGTACTTGTGACTTGACTAAGTGCAATCAAGTTAGTGTGGACTCTAGAAAGTTTCTCCAGGAGAAACATGTCCCTAACCTGGTTTTTCAGGTCCTTCAATGGTTTACCTATTGCCACTGTACCTGAGCCCATCCACTACACAGTCAAATAAAAAAATACTATTAAAACAAAAAGCAGTAGAACACATCCATAATGGCTTGTCCCACCATGAGGAAGGAAGAAAAAGGAGCTCAATTTCAGCTTCCCAGGCCTAGGTTGGTCAATTAAATCAATACATTTATCTCTGTAGAAGGAATATTCAACACTAACATTCATAAAATTCACCTCAGGAGAAATGCAGGTTTTTTTCTGTTTACAACATAAAGATATTAATAATGGGAGCAAAATAAATTTAAGGTTATATTACTGTGAAATACTGCCTTATCTTGTATGAGGTTTATATATTATGTCACTTCTTCACTGTTCTTTGTTATATAATTGTGTAATTAATACTATTTGTAATAGGTTGTTTACATCCCTCTTGTGGTCTGTTAGTCTAGAGCACTGTTTCTCAGCCGTGACAATTTTAAGACATGTAGCCTTCAACTCCTAGAATTCCTCATACTGGCTGAGGAATTCTGGGAGTTGAAGGCCACCATATCTTAAAAGTTGCCAAGATTGAGAAAGATTGTTCTTTAGCAGGAGTTGGGAACAATGGCCTTTTTTATGACTTGTGGAGTTGAAGTCCACGAGGCCATAATAGAGGCCTCATGGAGGCCATTATAAAGGGGCCATCATTCCCCACCTCTGCTCTATAAGAATCATATTGGATATTCATTCTTTGCTACGATGAGTTAGCTGGATTTGTTACATTCATGGGTCGTTCAAGTTGCTTACCACAGAACTCTTCGTCCGAGTGATCCCCACAATTGTCAACGCCATTGCACTTCCAGTCTTCCATAATACAGACTTTGTTCTTACACTGCCACTGTCCAGCTAAGCAGCTACTGGGTGAGCAGTTGGTTTCATCCGAGCCATCTATGCAGTCTACATGATCATCACATACATCCCAAGGATCAATGCATTGATTGTAGCTCTGGCATGGAATTTTTCTCTCTGCACATACTAGATTAAAATATCAGAAAAAACAATTTCCCCCCTCATTCATTATATTACTGGCATAAACTGGACTGCCCTGATTTCTGTCTACCATGAAGCAAAGTTTGTAATGGCTACATTAGAGAGGTCTATGCCTTTTTCAAAAGAGGTGGGGGAAGTTCTTTTGCCTGCCCAGGAGAGTAGAAAGAGTTTCAGAATGGCATGGAAAACCCAAGCTTTGTATTTTGTATATACAGGACCCTATAGTTAGTTCTTAGCATCTTTAATTAAGGACTGCTAGTAGGACGTTGAACAAAAAATCTTTGCCTCTAAAATAATCCTTGAAAAGATTGGGCTAGATGACTTTGCTATGTATTATTATATGAAATTGTTTCAAATTTCAAAAAACAAAACAAAAGACCAAGAGGTCTTCTACTGTATGTTCATGTACAAGACTACTGAAGTGATCTTTAGAGACAAGTCTATTTTCTTTGCTAAGGGATTTTCTTAAAACATCTTAAAACATTTTTCACACATTTTTTTCTTTGAGAAATGTTGGGTCTCAGTTTTCATAACTCCTAACCAGCATAGCCAACATACCTAAAGGATACCAAGCTAAAGAGGCCTGTATTATCACCTATAGCTAACAATACAGCTTCAGGGCAAAATTCCAGTTGCAACTCATGTCCCTTAAAAGACCATTTACCCTCACCTTCTTGAACAGAACAGTAGCAACCAGAAAAGCTGCACAGAAAAGACAAACTACTTTTATTTTCTTCACAAAGGTCACAATGCTGGACTCTTGATCCCAGGTTCTAAACAGAGGTGAAATGTGGTAGTAAAAAAAATGCTTAACAAAGTAAAAAAAAAAAACGGGGCCAAAAACGGGGATTGGAGGGGTTCTGCGAAAGAAAGAAAGAAAGAAAGAAAGAAAGAAAGAAAGAAAGAAAGAAAGAGGGTGGGTGGGAGGGAGGGAGGGAAGGAGGGAGGAAGGACCACAAACCTGGCACTAGACGCAGCTTCAGTGGATACCTTGAAAGAGCACAGCAATCCAGGGCTGGAAGGGACCTAGAGGTCATCTAGTCCAGCAGGACATTGTTAAAGTGAGTTTCTGTCTTTTGACACCCCCTCAGTCACATGACTATACAGCCATGCCCCAACCAGTCACATGACCTCCCACCAAACCGGCAGGAATTTTTTTTAGATTTCACCACTGTCTAAATACTAGTTATCAGGGGAGAAGTAGCCCAGAGAAGCATGAAGGTAACTCAGCAGCCTACTTTAGTTCCTAGAAAAGAGAAGTCCTTCTAAAACCATCTCCCCAACATACGTTTAGGTTAAACTCAAGATTAATAACAAAAAGATGTGACAGTCCCAGAGTAGCCAAGATTCAGAACAGAAATGGACAATTTTCAAAGAGGGAGAAATGAATTTTTAAAACCCCTTACGTTATTGCTTAGATTATTACCACCCTAATTACCTCCAAGAAACAACTGCACTTTTTTTTTATGACATCACGGTGTCATCATCCTATATCATCCTTCCCTCTTCTTCCGTCCTTCCTGAACACGTTTTTTGATGAAAAAGTGCCCACTGATTGAGAAAATTATTTTCCCAGTTTGTACTAAGGGGATTCCAATATTGCAAACTTTTAATACTGAATACATTAAAGCACCATAGACATGGTGACCACTGTTGGGACTCTGCATTTTGAATACTTTTCCTTGACATGGGAAGTCTTACTTTTCTTGCCTCTATACAATATCATGGGGCAGACCATGATTTCAGATCTGCCAACGCTGTTATTTCCTACTATTTTTCTACGTAAACTGTCGCTCTGCTCTGTCTTTACAGTAACAGAGGGTATACCATGCAGGTTCTATGCTACCTCATCTAGTACAAAGCAGTTTCCAAGATAAAGATGATCTTTTCTTTCACACAAGTATCTGTCTGTAGCAGTGGTGGGATTCAAATAATTTAACAACCGGTTCTCTGCCCTAATGACCAGCTGGCTAGGCGTGGCTCAGCGGTCACGTGACTGACTGGGCGTGGCCAACTCAACATTACTGACGTTGATGGGCACTTCGCCTTAGCTGTTACAATGTAATAAGGGTTAACCGGAGAGGCAGTTTCTGTAAGCAGGGCAACAAAGATTAGGCTAGAAACAATACTACAATGTTTCCTTCCTGCCTTCCTTACAGGATTAGTCCTGAAAAGTGGGGAAAAAACAAAAGGAAATTTCTTCCAACAAGCGGTCTCTGAACTGCTTAGGAAGTTAACAAGTGGTTCTCCCAAATAGGTACGAGCTGCCTGAATCCCACCACTGGTCTGCATAGTTCTTTTTATAAACAAAATTCTCCAATTGCATGCAATGGAACTGCATTTACATGGAGGAAAGTATGCAGTGGAGTACCCCAAGGCTGTGTTTTAGGCCCAGTACTCTTCAACTTCTTCATCAATGAT